GTTCCCGGACTCCGGAGGAGCACCCAATTTTCGCTCTCCCTAAGTTAAGGGAGAGCTTTTGGGGCTCTACTCCTATCCGGGAGTACTCACCTCGACCCCTTCTCCCGGGGCACAAGGTTCCAAGCCGCTGAACAGCTGATGTCCGCTGTTCAGGCTGGCTCTGACGCCTTCCCAAGCGGACGGCTCCAAAAGAGCCGCCTTCGGCGCGCCGTCCCACTGGAAGTCCTTAGCTCTTATCTCTAACCTTATCTTATCTTATCTCTTATCTTATCTCATCTCATCTCACTTTACCTCACCTCACCTCACCTTACCTTACCTTACCTTATCTTATCTTAATGCAAGTTTCAGGACTTTAAAAATGGACAGGAAGAAATAAGCAAGATCTTCCAATTAACCTGGAGGGCAAAGATTCACTTCCGTTCCCTTCCGCGGGCTTTTCTCTCCTCTCTCTTTCTCATCTGAATTAACTCTAAAAGTACCAAACAGTTCTGCATATTTTGTCAAAGCAAGAATATTCAATATTAGCAGCGTTGACATCTGTGTTCCAAAGAGACGTATCTAAGAGGTGAAATGGATTTTAAAATTAATTTGTGTTCAGCTTCTCTACTCTTAGAATGCCTGTCTCTACAGGAGGGAGCTCCTCCTGGTTACTTCAGGTTAAGCAAAAGACATTACAGAATTGCAGACCCCAGACCATTGTTTTTTAGGTGATATCTTTGGAGGAAACCATACTCCCACTAACTCTGACAGGGCAAGCTACTGTCAAATACCAGGAAAATCAGAGGATCCAGGCAGTTCAAATGAGTATAAAGATTTATTGAAAAGCTCTCTACAAGAATCTGAACTACTAATAGTCCAAGCAATTGGCAGCAAATAAAAGTCACAGGAATTCAAGGGGGCTGAACTTAGATCTCTTGTGGGCGCGAAGGGACTGATGGCTGATGATGCCTTTGATCCCCTCCCTCGGGCTCAGCCTAGTCATCTCCTACAGCTTGTTGTTGTTAGTTGTGAAGTCGTGTCTGACCCATCGCGACCCCATGGACAACGTTCCTCCAGGCCTTCCTGTCCTCTACCATCTTCTGGAGTCCATTTAAGCTCACGCCTACTGCTTCAGTGACCCCATCCAGCCACCTCATTCTCTGTTGTCCCCTTCTTCTATTGCCCTCAATCTTTCCCAGCATTAGGCTCTTCTCCAGTGAGTCCTTCCTTCTCATTAGGTGACCAAAATATTTGACTCCTACAGCTACTGTGTGTAAAAAGAGAGCAAACCCCATTCCTTCTAGCAGTGAAGATGTTACCTACTCAGGTCACTAAACATCTGCAAGAAGACAACCAAGTTGTGATGAGAAATTCCGTGAAATTCTGAAAGGTAGTATGAGTTGACCAAGGATGGATGTCCTGTTTCACTGCACAGCAATCTCTCTAGTGGGCTGCAGTTTTTCTGGCATTCAGAGCTTTAACTATATCTCAAGATTCTTCCATGGAGCTTTTTCAGATGGAAGAGGATGGGCAGCTTAAGATAATGCACAGTGATGGAAAAACATGACCAAGAAACACTATTGCCTAATGCAGCCCGTTTACTCTTTAACACAAACCAAGGCACAGGCTTCTTCAAGGCAACAAGAATTTAGCTCTTTCTATTTTCCTTTTCTTCCCCTTCCGCTCCCTCTTTCTATTCCCCAGAGAACTGATTGTAACTCTTTTGCAACACAAGGGCTGTAAGGTAGGTTTACAGGATATCCGGCTTCATTTTGACGCCTTCAGATTCAAAGTTTAAGGAGATAAAATAATTGAGTTAAGTGCGTAATCAAAGTACTGAGTACAAAGGCAAACACAGCTGGGTTATCCACAAGTGGAAATCCATTCCTTGTCTAAACAAGGATACTGAAATATAAGGAAAAAATTAAAAGGAACAGAATATAAGGAACAAATCAAGACTACAGTGTTTCTCCAAATCATTGCCCTCTAGAACTATTATAATATGCTTTAAGGTGGAGACAGTTACAATAAAGATTGAGAGAAAGCTGCTTGTTAGATACTTCAATACACTCATTTAATTTTGCATTTGAAAATTCATATGCAACTCACAGCTCTGTGAATTTTGCAATGCCATTTATCATCCCTCCCGCCCTGAGAACATGCATTAGGAAAATGCCTGCTCAAAAATACACATTATGATTAAAATAATTAATAAAAATGCATTGTGGCACAGAAAATGGCTTACATCATCCGGGTTACTTTCTTCTTATTTGCATATCCCTTTTTAGTTATTAAGACAATGTACTTTTGCATGCATAGTGCAATATTGTTTTGATGTTTCTTGTATCCTGTCATTTTTAAATCCACTTTCAAATCAGTCTCAATAAATGAAATAAATAAGACAGGGTCCTCTTCCATAACACCTTTTAAACAGAGTCTATCTATATAGGCAGACACTTTTTAAATTAACGACTGGATCCATTGCTCAAAATATCCATCAGTGTGTCCAATATTAACGTATTTTGCTTTATTCTGTATTTGTAAGTTGAATTTAAGTGTTCTTCTTTAATAGTAAGAACAATTAAAGAATTTCATTTCTTCTAGTTTTCATTAGTGTCCAACTCTTAAAGTCTCATCCTATCTTGTTTTTCTCAACTTCAATCAGAGTAGAGCTGGAAGGGACCTTGGAGATCTTCTAGTCCAGTGAATCCCTGGGGGTTGTGATGTCGTCACAGGGGGGTCCACAAAGGCTTGAAGAAATGTTATGATTTAAATCTTGAGCTAAGTCTTGGGGATCCGTGGCCATGGTCTGTGGCCACAAAAGGTATTTAAAGGGGGTCCATTGTGAATAAAAAGTTGAAAACTAAAGGAAGTTGAGAACATAAGAAAAAGTGAACTGGAGAAGAAAAATCCTCAGTATCCCCTTTCTATATTTTGTTTTATTCACTAGTTTTAAAAACAATTAAAATAGAAGTCTTTTGCTAGGGGATTAAAAAAAACCAGGAAACTGCCAGGAGAGAACAATAAAAGTTATAAAGAACTAGAAACAATAAACAATGCCTGCCTGCTCTTAAGTATCATAGTAGGTTTTTTCTTTTAATCTGTATGAGGTCAGCATAAAATATTTTGCTGTCTGAGATGGCCCGTTGAATGCCAGGTCATCCACAATGTGTCTGTCAAGCTGCAAATTTACAATCAAAGCCCTTCTTATAGGCATTGCATACGCAATGTACTTTAAATGGGTCGGTGCTTCATTTACATGGATGTGGCTGCCATCTTGTATTTTTTTAACTGTTGCCTCCCCAGATTCCAATCATCACAAGTTTAGCAATATTCAAAACAACGTGTGTCATGGAGTGGTTAGTATGAAATCCTTGATCAGGCATGAAATTCACCAATGGTCCTTAAACCAATCTTCATTATAGCCCCATAGAAAGTTATACCATAGATTGAAGAAGGTTGAGGTATCGTGTATTAAATAAAAATAATTTCTATTGTTTATCAATCAGCAGTGAATGCCCATGTCATTCATGCTGAAGAATTATGAACATATTTGAACTGTTCACATATTAAAACAACTCTCTCAGCATCCTACAATATATTGCTTAATTCTACAGCAGTTAATATTCTTCCAAGTAAGTTCTTTGGTCTTTTTGCTTCAACAGATTGACTGGTGTCCTTTCTGATAAGCTTCTGTATATCTTTTACTGCACTGGAATAAAAACATGCGAGCAACAGGTAAGCAACAGAGTCACTTAGATGAGATGGGCAGGATCAAAATGAAATGAAATGAAACACAGGGACTCTAATATGGAAAGAAAAAAGATTCAAAAGTTCTGTTTTTGGTTCTTACAGCTGATCATTGCCATTCACCTTCCACTTTCTGGGGTATTTTAGCAGATATTTTAAGAGTTAGTCTATAAAGTCCCAGATGTCACCTCCTTAGACGAAGCAGATATTCCTGATTCTATCAGAAAAAGCTTTTGCCAGCATGGCAACTGAGCAAATCTAACATCATTATCAAAACACAAAGCAGAAATAGGGAGAAAAAAATAACAATTTACACATAGGTCTGCCTACAGTTACAATACAGGTTTTCCCCTTTGAAAGTAAATAACATGGAAGGGATTTTCATCAATCTAACATTGGACTGGTGTCTGGTCATGCAAAGTTTTTTGGCTGTTGTTTTTTGTTTTGTTTTAGTTTTAGTTTCATGCATCCCCATGGAGTCATACTTCCATCCCTGACTCCTATATTCTGTACTCAAGCAAGCCCCAGACTTTCTTCTGGCCCAACTAAAGATGTAATGTCTATTTCTCACTGATTGCACAAGAATAGATGTTCCCGTGGACAAAAGATTGCTTTGTGGCTGAAAGGAGGATAGTCCATGTCTCCACAATGGGTAGATGTAAATCCTTCTTTAAATAAGCCACCAAAGGAACAATCTGTCCAGCAGCTCCCTGCTTTTTGAATATTCGTTTTAGTGGCTGCCCATTCATTTGAGGCACTGACTACACAGGGACAGTTTCTGGTTCCCCACCCAGAGTGTGGGAACTAATTAGTCCAACAACTTTGTAAAGATCTAGGATATTGCCCGACTTCAAAGTTCCTTCTCTTTCAGGGTCAGATAAAAGATCTTGGAAAGGAAAAAGCAGGCAGAGGATTTGAGTTACGGTTGCAGGGTTGGCTTAATTTTCCTCCCATTTTCCCTACCACCATATTAATTAGAAGCAGCTGTGTCAGCCTTGTGTAGTGGTCTAGACAGGAAATATGACCAGATTCGACTTTATTGTAAGGCTACATTAACAGAATCCCGCAACTCTGAAAGTGGATTATCCCCCTTAACAGCCCAAGGTGTCAGAGAGAGTCTGTGCCACTTGCCATAGCAATATTCCTGCTGCAGGCTAAGCTGCCTCACCTCTGACTGGCTGAAGCTCTTCCCCATCTCCCAAGGTCATTTCCCCAAAGCATTACAGGTTGAGAATGAATTATTGGCCCAAAGGAACTGTACTTTGTGCTCTCTGGCAGTCCTTATTCTAGCCCATGGTAATATATTGGCCACTATTCTCTCTGTCTCAGCCGGTGACCTGCCTGCCTGGATGGGCCGATTTGAATTTTAAATCCCCTGGGTGGCAAATGAATAGAAAATGGCATTTTGTGTCCTTCTTCCCAACGGACATCTGATTATTTGTTTGACTTCTAAACTGTAACACTCATGGCATTCCTTATGGCATGCAAGAGTAATTAAAACAGAAACATAAAATATGCACCTCCCAAAGTTGATATCACCTAGCATTTGTCAAGAAGCTGGAATAATCAAGTATATGGATTGTCTCCTTGAGTAAATGACTTGGAAAATTCTAACTTGGGTTGGTACAAAATGTATTCTGTAGAAAGATTCCAAGGCTCATCAACTGAAATAAAGCTTTGCTACAGCATAAAATAATTTTATCTGTCTTTGCTTCTCTCTTTATGGGTTTGCTTCAGCTTGTTCAAACATGCTGTGTTAAATAGGGATCCAGTGAATGAACGGAAGGGTTCCATTCTTGGGGACCTTAATATTTTCCCTAGATTAAGAATTTATGTGTATTTCCACTTTCAGAAATCTGTAGCTGCTTCTCCTTCTCCTCCGTATTATCTCTGTCTTTGCACAAGTTGGTTATGATAGTCCTTCCAAAAACAGGTAGCTCATCATTGTTAATTTTTCAGGGTTTTGTGAAGAAAGTTCTCCAGTGCTATTTGAAAATATAAAGGACTGAATTTAGCACTTGGGTTTAGCCCTGACCTAGCTTTGCCTCATCTACTTTCTCCATTCTGATCTCCTTTATTCAGAGGACCATTCATTCTCCATTTTCTCATCCTTGTTTATTGGCTGATTCATGAATAGCTGCATAATGACTTGGTGGTTGGTTTTACACCTCATGCCAAGCCATAAGCCATGGTTTATAATTCCCAAAATTCAAACATACCACAGTATGACCTGGTAGAATGTATAAATCTTGGCAGAGGTTGAACAAGTCACAAGCCATGGATCGTTTTAACCATGGACTGTTGAATAGATTGCATAAAAATGAGATGACACCTAAAAGGAGATGCAGTCTTCTGCCTGAGATTTTGGATTCTTGCTGCCATTGAGAATAGACAATATTAGAAGAGTTTCTGCTATTTATTAGCTGAAAAAGATCGATTCATCCATGGCATACCAGTTCTAGACAGTCGTGCTTTATTTGACTAACCTTAGAGGTGCAGAGAAAGGATTAGTTTTTATGAGTTTATTCAGTAACACACCCAGCTTTTTCCTCCTTCTGCCCTAGGTGTGCTGAGGATTGTGGTGGTGCTATTTACCTTATTTGCAACCTGGCTTTTTGCCAGCACCTATTTGAAGAACACAAGCATGAACTCAATCAATGTGAAGACATGGCTGAGTAAGTTTATAATAAATTATAGGTCTTTCCTCTCCACTCCATCTTTTTCCTTCTTCTTTTGCCCAATAGGCTCTTCCAGCTTAGCAGATGAAACACCAGGAAAAAGGAAAAGAGTCTCTCTTGCTGTTTTCCATCCTTTTAATCTCAACTGTAGTCCTGGGAAGTATGGTTTCTCTGCTTGACATATTTACTTTGCCTCCATGCTGGCTACAAAGCAGAATGAAATTCAACCATTTCCCTCTCTGCTCTTCCCAGAATTGTATCGGTTCCCCACTATCATGCATAATGAGCTACTTGGAGATAAAGAAGGTGGTAGGATACATTTTTCTAAATCAGGGGTCTTCATCCTTGGCAACTTTAAGACTTGTGGACTTCAATTCCCAAAATTCCTCAATCAGCCATGCTGGCTGGGGAATTCTGGTAGTTGAAGTTCACAAAACTTAAAGTTGCCAAGGCTGGAGAGACTTGTTCTGAAGGACTGGAGGCTTCTAAAAGAGAACCTGCTTCCTTCTCTCTGCTATGAAACAAGAGAAGTGTGTCTTAACTTACAGAAGTAAACTATAATCCCTTTCTGTGAAGTCCTTGGTGCTCTCTGAGCTTGGTTGTTTTCTTGCATTTCTTTATTACACAACTAGATGCTGTAACATCATCAGTGCCTGAAGGGAGAGAGGTTTGCTGTACTATCTAGGTGGGTAATGAAACATCTGCAATAAAACAACCAAGCTCAGAGAGCACCAAGGACCTCACGCTTCAATCCTGAGCTATAAATATTTTCTTCTAATGATGATCCTCTCTCTGCAACAATCAGGAGAACTCTCTGTTCCATAGCTAAGTATAGCCCAAAATAGTTTCCCAAAATGTTTCCTCAACAGGCCCAACTTCTTTTTTCTCCACCAATTCTTTTTTAGCAAATGGGAGAAAAAAAAAAGGAGTTGCATCTGATTTACTGCAGAAAATTATTCCTTTGATTCTATCAACAGGAACATTTTCTGGATAATCTCTAAAGACTATTATGACATATACCTACTTTATTTTATACTTAAACAAAGCATTAATTACTCTTTGAGAGTCAGGTGTAAGGTTACTCTCTGCGTTGATAAATATACAGCGAGGGATGTATATTTATCAACCTTCCCTGTTAATGAACCTTCTGTTCATTAACACCATGATTGAATCAGTGAACAACTCTGACAATCATGCCCTTAAATTAGCAAGCTGCTAATTAATGTACTCAGATGATGCAATCCTTATTTCTTGTTCCCCTAGGACTCAATAAGGCCATGAAAGGGCATAGGTCAATCAATCATTAATCAATCAGAATAGAGCTGGAAGGAACCTTGGAGGTCTTCTAGTCCAACCCCTGCTCAAGTAGGAGACCCTATACAATTTCAGACAAGTGGCTGTCCAGTCTCTTCTTAAAAACCTCCAGTGATGGAGCACCCACAACTTTTGACAACAAGCTGTTCCACTGGTTAATTGTCCTCACTGTTAGGAAGTTTCTCCTTAATTCCAGGTTGCTTTTCTCCTTGATTAGTTTCCATCCATTTTTCTTGTCTTGCCTTCTGGTGCTTTGGAAAATAAATTGACCCCTCTTCTTTCTGGCAGCCCCTCAAATACTGGAATACTGCTAGTAGTAATACTGAGGCTGGTGGGAAATAAGGAGGATCCTGATAGTTCCTTTTTCTGATTTAATTTAATTAGATGAAATGAGCTGCAACTCACAAAAATGTGTGGCTTTTGTCAAAATGTGTCAGAAAAGGGCTACTGGACTCTTTCTTTTTTTTGTTGTTACCATAATGCAAAGCAGGTCTTCTCCTACAACTTCCCCAGGCTCATGTTCTTACAGGAAAAGATCAAATCCTCTTTCCATATTTAAGACATGACTGGGATTGAACATTCCCCATTCCTCTAAGAAAAATTAGGAAGGGTTGTCTTTTCTTTCCACTGTAAACAGAAATAGACTTATTATTATTATTTAAATTTATATACCGCCCTATCTCCCTTACGGGACTCAGGGCGGTGAACAGGCGATAATAAAAATCACAATAAATATTGAATAAAAAGCCTGCTCTAGAATACCCCATATAAAAGCCCCTACCAAAACACAATCAGAACTACGCCAGGCCGGCCGCATGGAATAGATGGGTTTTCAAGGCTCGGTGAAAGAGGCGCAGGTCCGCAGTTGTACGTAGGTCGGGGGGTAGGTCATTCCAGAGGGCAGGAGCTGCCACAGAGAAGGCTCTCCCCCTGGGGGTCGCCAGCCGGCATTGACTGGCCGACGGCACCCTAAGGAGGCCCTCTCTGTGGGAGCAGACTGTGGGAACGGACTTGCAGAAGAAGACTGATTATAGTAATAGCTTCCATCTGAGCGGAGAAAGATTGATAGAGGATGGTTGGAAATAAGGGTCAACATGTGAACAGAGTTTCCTTTGCTGAAATTTATCCCTGAAATTATTTGACTTGATTGGGATATGTGGGAACCCTTGGACCAGATGCTGTTTCTGGCTTCTGCTACAGTGTAGTACCGGGATAATGTTTCAGATTCATAACATTCTTGTTCCTTTCTGTTTTCCTGCTTTATATGGTTTTGTACTGATTAAACTGCTTTGATATTTTCTTTTAATAGGAACCAGTAGAGAAAATGTTTAACAAATAAATCATCTGAATTTCTGTATGAATTTGGCAAATATTTGCTTATGTTAGCCAGTAACAGTCTTTGGATTGTGGCTAGGTAGAAATATGAGTTAATAAATAAATGTTCGGTTATGCTCATATCATCTCGGGGTTAAAAGTTATGAAAGATATATATTCTTTTTTGCATGCAAATTCAATAATCCATTTCCTGGTTTCCATCCACTTATACCCTTTGCAAGTAAAGGAGAAACATCTAAAGGAGATTCGACTTGTGAATATTGGTAGAATTTTCACCAAATTGAGAAGCTTCCTTTAATAACTTTCTCTAGTACATTTTGTTTCTACTTAAGATGCAGCAAGTACAAATAGAAGACTCTTTGGGTATTTTTTACTCAACCCAGGAAGATAAAGCACAGAGAGGATTTTGAGAGCTTATGCCTACACCTATGTTGAGACTTTAGAAAGAGTGCAGAGAATGATGTTGAGACTTTAGAAAGAGTGCAGAGAAGAGCAACAAAGATGATTAGGGTTTTTACGCGAAGACAGGTGGGAGGCAGCTGTCGGCTGCGTCCGACGAGGTCGCCTGCACACCGGAAGTATCTTTTCATGTAGACTAAGATATTTTGTGGAGTTAGAGATATTAGTATTTGTTTACTTATATATGAATATTATCCGGGGACTAGGTTTGGGAAGTCCGGGGGGGGGATTTTATTTTTTACTCTGCTTATTGGATTATGATTGCTTTTTATGATGAAAATAATAAAAAAAATTGGAAAAAAAAAAGATGATTAGGGGACTGGAGGCTAAAGCATATAAGGAACGGCTGCTGGAATTGGGTATGTCTAGTTTAATGAAGAGAAGGACGAGGGGGACATGATAGCAGTGTTCCAATATCTCAGGGGTTGCCATAAAGAAGAGGGAGTCAAGCTATTTTCCAAAGCACCTGGAGGCAGGACAAGAAGCAACGGGTGGAAACTAATCAAGGAGAGAAGCAATGTAGAACTAAGGAGAAACTTCCTGACAGTGAGAACAATTAACCAGTGGAACAACCTGCCTCCAGAAGCGGTGAATGCTCCAACACTGGAAGTTTTTAAGAAGAGACTGGACAGCCATTTGTCCGAAATGGTATAGGGTTTCCTGCCTGAGCAGGGGGTTGGACTAGATGACCTTCAAGGTCCCTTCCAACTTTACTATTA